TTGTGTAAGAACAATGATTTTTTAAAATTTGGGAGCAGGAAGTATCAGGATTGACAGATCATTCCAAAAGAAGGTCTGTGCTCAAAATAAATGAAATTAATTTCTTTACTTCCCTTCTTGTTAACTTTATGATAATATGTGTATATTTGGTTTTTCAATTTCAAAGTGAATATCCAGTCTTATTTGTATATTATCTTCCAAAAGTTATAAAAATATTCTAAGAAAGGTTATTAGACTTGTGCCTTAACATAAATATTCCTGGCCCCATAAGGGAAGACGAATGGACCCTAAGAGTGATCATCCCATGTGGAAAGATACCAGAGTCTATGAGTTAACTTATCTAAATTAAAATTTTTTATAACTTTCTGACATTTTCCTTAGCTTCCACCTAATGTTACGAGAAGAAAATAGGCCATGAAAGAGTTTTTTATCTTATTTCTCAATATTCAGAATTCTTAGTTAATTTTTTTCTCTCCAAATATTTTATAAGATTCTTTAGAAAGAAATGCAATACAGTTTCATAATGAAGCTTTCATACATTCAATAAGTGTTTGCTCAATGATTTAAATAGGCCATGCTATGCACTAGGGGCTAGAAATACTGAGAACAGAGCTCCTTCTCTTCAGAGGTTTGTTTCTATTGACAGAGACTGACAATGCTGAGTGCAGAAATTCTCTGAGATTCCCAGAGAAGGGGCATCAATTATGCTGCACGGAAGAGGCTGGAGGTCAAGAAAGGCCTTCCTATTGGATAGATAACACTTAAACTCGATTTTAGAGGCCAAGGAGTGATAGATAACACTTAAACTCAATTTTAGAGGCCAAGGAGTAATTAGCCAGCTGACAATATGACCTTATTCATCTATAGCTCTTTTAAACATTTAAGTCCCTCCAGAATGGTTGATTTTTAGTTAAAGGTCTGTGTAAGAGAGTGGGAGACAGTAAGTAATTTGTAAATATTTGCTTTAGTTTGACTTTGTGTTTGGCCTTTAGCCTTCTGAAAAGTTACTACCAAAATGATTAATTAGACTTTTCCTTATTAGTTTTAATTTCTTTTGAATGCTTTTTTACACACTTTTATTAAATATGTTTAAGATACTTAAAAACATGAAGTTTTTCCTAAGAGATTTTTTTTGAGTCCTTATAAAAATAATTCTTTGGACTTTTCATGTAATAGAGATTAACTATATACATATTTTATTAAAATTTATTATGAATCTGCTTAATTTTGATGAATTACTTTTTCAAGGTATTAATCAATATTTTAAAATTCATATTATTTTCTTATTGCTCAATTTTTCTTGGATACTTTTATTCTTTTTCTTAATATTTAATGATATAGTTTAATGTATTAAGTATTTGAATAAGAAGTTTGTTCCTTCTTATTGGTCAAAAATGTCAAATATTTCTGTTTATCTTGCATTATTAATAAATGTCTTTTCCTCTCAATTCATGAATTTAATATCACTTTGTGATTTCTCAGTAATATTATAATTGTTCTTTGGGAGCTTAATAGTTTTTTTTTCTTCCCTAGATAATTTTTTTGGTGCTTAAATAATTAGTTTATACATTTTATACCTAGTTGAAAATATTCCTTAAATTCTATCTGATGAACTTATTTTATTTCAGTTTCTGCTATACTTTATACTTTTCTCTGGATTTATGACTACATTAATGATTTTGTTTGGCATTTTGTTTCAATGAGGATTTATTTTCTTCTGTTTTTCTCATGTATTTGTATGTAGAAATCGCCTCAAATTTCAGCTCAATCTGCATATATGTCTGAAGCTTCTTTTGAATTTTTCTTTTTTCAAATTTATTTTATTGAATAATAAAAAACCAGCTACACTACTTTAAAGAAATAATTGAGAGTCAATTTCGGAACTCTGTTACAAGTAGTAGGAAACTCTTTCTATCCTCTCTGAGATTATTTATAAGATCTACGCTGCACACACACACACACACACACACACACACAGTGCTGTGTGTGTGTGTCCCTCAGAGGTTGGAACATAGTTGATAACTTCCAAATGTTAATGTACTTTGTGACTTGTGACAACTTAATCATTCTATGTCTTGATTTTTTTCATCTAAAACATGGTCTAATGATATATAACTGTTGAGATTAATAGAATTTCAGTATTTGAACACCTAGCACAGTACATGGCAAATATTTGATGTCAGTATATGACATTCTTTGTGGTAAGTTTAGTCTATCTGAGAACCAGGGATGGCTATGTTTCTAGATTTGGAAATTTGGGAGAAAAAAAAAAGATGTTTCTCTTGTAGGCATAGCTGATCAACCCACTTATCATTAAAATATTTTTTCTAAAAAGATTTCTTTTTTTTTAAGAGAGAGAAAAGAGAGAGAATTTTTTAATATTTATTTTTCAGTTTTCGGTGCTGGATTTTATGGAGATGGTTCAATCCTCAGCACCAGTTTCCGGTGGACACAACATCTTTATTTTATTTTTTTAATATGGTGCTGAGGATTGAACCTAGCGCCCTGCACATGCCAGGTGAGCACATTACCACTTGTGCCACATCCCTAGCCCCTAAAAATATTTCTTAAAATTGCAAATACAGCATTATTTTTGTATATGATAGAGTTAGCAGCTTCCATAGCTTCATTTGATTTTTTTTTTTTTTTGGTAAATATAATGTAAGGGTTGATGAGATATTTTCTGATCTAAATATTTTCCAATGATTCTCAGATTTTTTTCTCAAATTAGTTTAACTTCCTAATGACCTCCTGAATATTAAATATTTTACCATGTAAATGTGAACATTAATACAGTATAAGCAAATTATTTTACAAAATTCACTATTGCTGGGTAAAGATCTAGCAGAAAAGGAAGATTTTCTTGAGTGGATCAGAGGAGTTGTATTTATCTCCAAAGTGAACACATTTTCTTGGGGCATGATACTTAGAGTTTGCAGTTTTCAATTTAACATTTGTGTCCTAATTATTACATATATATTAGGTGCTGCTGTTCAACTGAGATAACTGCTGTTCAAATGAAGGTAGAGATTACTGTGAAATTGGTTTCAACACATGATATAAATTGTCAGCCTAATGTAGAAATCCACACATTATCATCCCATATATCTGTTATCATCTTTAGTTTATTTAAGCATAGATTTTCAAACCAAATTGCATTGCAGTTTGGTGGTGGATTTCTGAAAATAATCTTATCTATATCCATGACTTTTACAAAATGCCATTCTTTATATATAGTTATCAAAATTGATGTGTCACATGGGGTAATATTCTCTGTGACAATGTAACTATACATGTTAGTAACAGATGGGCCAATTATGCTTAGAGTTAACCAACATACCAACAATATCCACATGAAAATTGTGTTCAGCCCTGAGTAATAGAGAACTAATGAACAATAGTTTAATCCAATTTTGGGCTTTATTTATGTCATATCACAAGAAGTCACCAGATAAACACACAAAAAAACATCAGAGTCAGAACTCTAATATCCACCTCACATTTTCATTTTAGTGACAATGTGTCTGTCCTAGTCTCAACATCATTCTTCATTCTAGGTAGCATGTATATATGTATGTGTGTGTGTGTGTGTGTGTGTATTGTTGTTGTTGTTGTTGTGCAAGTTTGGGAAACGAAAATTCTCCCAATAGTTTATTAATCAGAATGATACTGTGTGGCCACACATTTAAGAGTGTCTGGGAAATGGAATTTTTATCTTGGCAAATGCAACCTTGAAAAAAATGAATAAAGGAAAAGGATAAAATTCACGTTGGGAAGGCAAATGGAAGTCCCCCCAACCCTGTTGTCAGTCAAAACCATTACTTGTCTAACAAAATTTATACTCATTGATCTTTACAGATGCCTGCTACCATTTGATGCTCAAATAGCTCACCTAATAGCCATTAAAAAACAAATTTTCTGCAGTGCCCTCATCACACAGATTAAATGTTCAGTGAACAATATTGTGCTACCCAGAATGGGTCCATTTGAACCTCAGACATCCAAGCAAAATCATACTTTGCTTTAAAGAAGAGTGAAGAAATCATGGTGATAAAGAGCCCCACTAATAAACACTGAGGTCAGATGATAATAATAATTTGAAAAAAAAAAAAAAAGCAGAGAACACAGGCAACTGAAAATGTTTAGGAATACAAAGACACATGATTGCCCCTGAAAATCAATTTGTGAAGTTTCTATTTATTGTAAGATGAAGAGCAAAGTGCAATAAAAAATCTTGTAGCACTTGAATGACTTGTTCCAGTTCTATAAAGAAATGTAAAGAGTTGAGAACTGGATAAAGAGACCATTCATTCACTATGCCCTGCTTTTTCAAAAGTAGAAGCTCCAGAGGAGCTGGAACTGATCTAAATAGCTCATAAGGAAATACACCTGCCAGACCTACAGACACACAGTTGAACTTTAAGAACTGGATTGGCTTACAGATTGTGGAGACTACAATGTGGAATAATGACAAATATGGAAAAATTCTTCTTTTTGGTTTTGTTCAATCAGTTTTTCCAAACTATCTGCCTTACTCAGTTATAGAAATGATCATCATGTCCAGAACAATAATAAATAACAATTAATAGTGTGTATGTATGTGCATGTATATATATATATATTATATATAATATATATGCTTATATTATATAATACATAATATATATTATAATTATATATTTATTAGTACTTATATAAAATAAGCATATGCCAATTTTGAGGCAAGAGTGTCAAGTTCAAGTTTCTCATTATATTAAGGTATGAGAAAGGACACCATGCTCTTTTTACCCCCCTGGCAATTCCATGGGAAGATGGGCTACTATACACAATGTCTGAAATGAATACTCCAAATGGGCCTTTGTATTCTTATTATTTGAGTACTCTCTTTGTGAATGGCTGAGGGCTACATTGTATTGTCATAGTATAAATTGAAAGGAATTTGCAAGTATGATATATGTTCTAGTCATATGTATATCTTTTTTGGATATGTTTTGTTTCAGTGTACGGAAATGATGGATTTTATATAATACTGAAAGGCCAAGCTCGACCTCGCATAAAAGTGTATAAAAACCTGTTGGAAGACACTAAATCAACAGCCTCTTTGCCATCTCACAGCAGCTTTATATTTGATGAAGACTTTCCAAATTCTCTACTTTCTGGGTTGTACGTACCTTCACATGACATAGTGGTAAGAGATCAATATTTGCTTTTTCCACAAGCAACAAGGTAACCTGATGGTTAATTTTGTCTTTTTCTGATATTTAGATCTAAATTATCTTCAATGTACTGCAAAAGTCAAAATAGTATATCTCTTAAAATAAATTGGGGTTGGGGTTGTGGCTCAGTGGTAGAGTGCTTGCCTGGCATGTGAGGCACTGGGTTCAATTCTCAGCACTACATGTAAATAAATAAAAAAAAAGATCCATTGATAACTAAAAATATATTATTTTATGTTTTATATATTAATTTATATATATTAACTTGTATATATATATATAAATTGAGCTATCAATATTAAACTGGAAATTTGATTAAAATTTTTGTTGCAGGATGCCTTCAGTATCATATTGCTTATAGGTAGGGGATGTGTGGTCCATTTGATACCTGAAACAAGGTCAATGTGGCTGGTTCATTGATAGAGTAAGGATGTTATTTTGCATTAAAGGTGAGGTTACAGAGACTTGAGGATAGGGAAACAACCGATTAGCATGATCAAGTCAAGGATGTGTTTATCATGTTTGTCTCAATGCTAAGATAATCAAGGGCTTGATTGCATTATAATAAAAAATTTGTACTTGAAGAAAATCTATTGCCTACATATAATATTTCAAGATTATCAGTTGGTAAATTGCCTCTGCCAAAACTCATTTGTTTGCATAAGTAGCCCCTTATCCAAGTTCATGGTGTTCTACACATCATTGTTTCTGATGAAGTCATCTGTGATTGTAGAATTTATTTTACTCTTCTTTGTGGCTGAGTAATATTCCATTGTGCATTTTATTTATCCATTCATCTATTGAAGGACACCTTGGTTGGTTCCATAGCTTAACTATTGTCAATTAGCCTCCCATAAACATTCATTTGGCTATGTCACTGTAGTATCCTGATTTTAAATCCTTTGTTTATAAACCGAGGAGTGGGATAACTGGATCAAATGGTGGTTTCATTCCAAGTCTTTGAAGGAATCTCCATACTGCTTTCCAGAGTGGTTATACCAATTAGTAGTCCCACTAGCAATATATGAGTGAATATTTTACCCCACATCCTCACCAACATTTATTGTTACTTGTATTCATGATAATTGCCATTCTGACTGGAGTAAGATTGAATCTCCCTGCAGATTTGAATTGCATTTCTCTAATTGCTAGAGATGTTGAACATTTTTTTCATCTATTTTTTGAACAATTGTATTTCTTCTTCTGTGAAGGGCCTGTCCAGTTCCTTTGCCCATTTATTGATCAGGTTATGTGTTTCATTGGTGTTAATTTTGTTGAGCTCTTTTGTATATCCTGGTGGTTATGCTGTTTCTGAGGTGCAAGTTGCAAGGGTTTTCTCTCATTCTATAGGCTTTCTCTTCCTTTTCTTCATTATTCACTTGTTTGTGAAGAAGCTTTTCAGTTTGAAACTATTCCATTTATTGATTCTTGATTTTACTTCTTCTGTTTTAGGAATTTTGTTGAGAAAATCAAATCCTAAACTGAAATAATAGAGAGTTGGGCTTACATTTTCTTCTAGTAATTTCAGAGTCTCTGATATAATTCCTAGCTCCATGATCCACTTTGAGTTGAGTTTTATACAGAGGAAGAGACAGGGGTTAAGTTTTATTCTGCTACATATGAATTTCCAGTTTCCCCAGCACCATGAATTGAAGAGGCTATCTTTTTTCCAATGTATGTTTATGGCACCTTTGTCTAGTATGAGCTAACTGTATTTATGTGGTTTTTCCTCTTTGTATTTTATTCTGTTCCATTTTTCTTCATGTCTCTTTTGGTGCTGATACCATGGTCTTTTTGTTATCATAACTCTATAGTATATTTTAATATCTGGTATTGTGATGGCTCTTGCTTGCTTCACTGTTCAAAATAAGGATTGCTTTGGCTATTCTGGCCTCTTTTTTTCCAAATGAATTTCATGGCTGCTTTTTTTTTAATCCTATGAAGAATGTCATTGTAATTTTAAGAGGAATCTCTATAGTGATTTTGGTAGTATGACAATTTTGACAGTATTAATTCTGCCTATCTAAGAATTTCTTTTATTTAGTGTTATGTAAGTTTTTTTGTAGAGTTCTTTCCCCTCTTTTGTTATGTTGATTCCCATATATTTTATATTTTGAAGCTATTGTGAATGGGATAATTTTTCTAATTTCTCTTTTAGTTGATTCATCATTGGTATATAGGGACACAATTGATTTGTGGGTGTTAATTTTATATCTTGCTACTTTATTGAATTCATTTATAAGTTCTTTTAAATATAGAATCATATCATTGGCAAATAGGGATAGTATGAGCTCTTCTTTTCCCATTAGGTTCCCTTCAATTTATTTATTTTGTCTAATTGCTCTGGCCTAGGGTTTTAAAGACTATGTTGAGTAGAAGTGGTGAAAGAGTATCCCTGTTTTGTTCTAGATTTTAGAGGGAATGCTTTCAGTTTTTCTCCATTGGCTTAACATAGACAGTGTTTAAAATGTAAGGAATATTTCTTCTATCTCTAGTTTTCTAGTGTTTTGAGCATGAATGGATGATGCATTTTTTCAAATGCTTTTTCTGAATCTTTTGAGATAATCATGTGATTCTTATCTTTATATTTATTGATATGAAGAATTACATTTATTGATTTCCATATGTTGAACCAACCTTGCATCCCTGGTATGAAACTCACTTGATCATGGTGTACTATCTTTTTAATATGTTATTGTATGTAATTTGACAATATTTTATTAAGAATTTTGCATCTATGTTCATCAGGTTTATTGGTCTGAAGTTTCCTTTTCTTGATGTGTCTTTGTCTGGTTTTCATATCAAGGTGATACTAACTTCATAGAATGAGTTTAGAAGGGTTTCCTTCAATTTATGTATTTTTTCAATTTCATGAAATAATTTGAGGAGTATTGGTGTAAGTTCTTCTTTGAAGGTCTGATAGAATTTGGCTGAGAATCCATCTTATCCTAGGCTTTTCTTTATTGGTAGGTTTTTGATGGTGTCTTCATATCATTGCTTGTAATCTATCTGTTTAAATTTTCTATGTCCTCCTGACTTTTTTTTAGGTAAGTCATATATCTCTAGAAATTTGTTATCTTCAAGATTTTCTATTTTATTGAAGCACATATTTTCAAAATAGTTTCTGATTATTATCTATATTTCAGTCATGTCTGTAGTGATGTTTCGTTTGTTATCACCAATTTTAGTAATTTGACATTTCTCTCTTCAAGATTGGCTAAGACTTTATCAATTTTATTAATTTTTTGAAAGATCCAACTTTTTGTTTTGTTGATATTTTGATTTTTTTTGGTTCCAATTTCATCTCTGATTTTAATTATTTTTTTCTTCTACTACTTTTAGTGCTGTTTTTGTTCTTCTTTTCCAGAGCTTTGAGATGTAAAGGAGATTATTTACTTGATGACACTCTATTCTTTTAATGAATGTGCTCCATGCTATAAATGTTACTCTTATCACCTCCTTCATATTATCCCAGAGATTTTGATATGTTGTATCACTTTACTCTAATTATTATTTTTTATTTCATCTCTGATATCTTCAGCTATTCATCGGCATATATTCAACAGCATATATTTAGTCTACAGGTATAAGGGTAGCTTCTATTTTTTATTTCTAATTTTATTCTATTATAATCCAATAAAATTCATGGTATTATCTCTGTTTTTTTATGTTAGCTAAGAATTTTTTGTGGCCTAAGGTATGTTCTATTGTGGAGAATAAGCTGTATGGCAATGAGAAGAAAGTATATTCAGTCACTGATGATAAGAAATAGTCTATATATGTTAAGTCTAAATTATTAATTGTAATTTTGAGTTCCATAGCTTCATTATTTAGTTATTGTTTGGAATATCTATGAGTGATGAGAGGGGCATGTTAAAGTCATCCTATTATTCTGTTGAGATCTACGTGATTCTTGAAATTTTGAAGGGGTTTCTTTCATATACAGATATGCTCCATTATTTGGGGCTTCAGTGTTTATGATTGAATGTTTTATTACGTATAATTCCCTTAAACAGTATGAAGAGGGCTTTTTTGTCCCTTACATGTGAATAGTAAGGTTTTTTTTCCCATTCTTTTACCTTGAGTCTGTTGATGTCTTTGCCATGAGGTGAGTCCTTTGTTGACCTCATCTTGTTAGGTCTTGTTTTATAGTCCAATCTTACAGTCTATGTCTTTTGATTGTTGAATTTAGGCCATTTATATTCAATGTTATTATTGGAATATGATTTTTGTTCCTTGTAATTTTGATTTATTTCTGGTTTTTAATTTGAATTAGTTTCTTCTTTGATCAATTAGTCTTCTAGTGTAGTTCTTTCATTTGCTGATTTTCAGATTTTTCTTCATTTCCTCTTCATGAAATATTTTATTGACTATGTTCCATAGTATAGGCTTTTTAATTGTGAATTCTTTTAAATTTTGTTTATCACGGAAGGTTTTATATTTCATCATAAATTCTGAAGCTTAATTTTGCAGGATATAGTATTCTTAGTTTGCATCCATTTTCTTTCAGTTTGCTATACCATATTCCCAAACTTCCTAGCTTTAAAAAGTCTGGACTGAGAAATCACCTGAGATTGGTTTCTCTCTGAATGTGACTTGGCATATTTCTTTGGCACCCTTTAAAATTTCTATCCTTATTCAGTATGATAGGCATTTTCATAATAATATGCCTTGGTGTGGATGTATTTTAATTTTGTATAATGGGTTCCTGTCTGCTTCCTGTTTTTGATGTTTCACTTCATTCTTAAGTTTGGAGAATTTTCAGATATTATTTCATTGAGAACATTATGCAGTCCTTTGTTTTATATCTCTGAGCCTTCATCTATCTATTGTTTGTGAGTCTATCCATCTAACAATTGGTCTTCAGGCAGTAGAGATTCTACTCTGTGGATTTATTGTGTCCCTGAAGGTCTTCTATACTTCACAGTTAGGGAGAGACTGTTCATAATAACAACCAATGCAAACAATTTAT